CCAATTGTATTCTCAGTGTCTTTCTGTAGAACAATGTTTCTGTTGTTTCAAGTCTTTTTGTCTGTGAGGAAATTGTACAGCATTCACTTCCATACAGAAGGACTGATATTACATAACAGCTCAGTACTTGTTTATTATTGCTAACAAAATTTTCCTGTTTCTTAATACTTTGCTTAGCTTTTGGAAATCATCTTTTGCTATTACTGTATTCAGATTTTAGTGTTGCACTTTCTTTCCTCTGTTAAAACACTTCCCAGATATTTAAATTGTTGTACTTGTTTCATTTTGGTATCCCTGATTTGTAATCTGTATGTTGGTCTGCTCCTTTTGTTAACTACTATGCATTCTATCTTCTTGCAACTGATGTTTAGTCCTTTCTTCTAGCTTTCCTTTAATACTGTCTATAGAAGCTTTTGTAGTTTCCTTTCAAGGTCAACTATCAACAATGTATCATCTGCATATCTTTTGTTATACTATAACCACCAATAATGAATCCTGGCAGGAAATAATTCTCTCAAAATCATCTCACTGCATAGGTTTAAGTCAAGTGAGATGACACATCCTTGTCTTACACCCATTTCTATTTTTGTATATTTACTGCATTCATTTTTTTACTTGTATGCCAGCAGTTTGCTGCCAGTATAGGTTCCAGATTATTCAAATATCTTTGCTAAATATGTAAACATTAGGTAGCAGTTCCAACAGTTCTTTGTGATGTACTTTATCAAATGCTTTTCTATAATCTATAAAACATAAGTATATATTCTTTTTGCATTGCTCTTTCTGATATCATTCTGAGCATAAATATTACATTCCTTGTTCCAGTGTCTTAAACAAATCCACATTGTTCTTGTCCTATTTCTGGTCCAATTTTGTTGTGTGCTCTATTCATCAGAATTCAGACAAGTTTTGCAATATGGCTCATTTATGCTGACTGTATAACGGAGTTCACATTCGTCTGCATCTGGCTTCTTAGGCAGTGCTATGAAAATGGATCTATTTAAGTCTTACTGTAAATCACCACTGTTGTATATCTCATTTATTATGTTTGTAATCATGTCAATGCTGAAATCATTTAAGGCATCCAGCATCTCTATTACAATTCTCTTTGATCCTGTTGCTTTGTTTCTCTTCAGTTTCGTCACTGCTGATTCCACTTCAGATTTGAATATTTCTGGCCTTTCAATATTTGTGCCTTACCAGTTGTGCTTTTTTTTGTTATCAGAGTATTCTGAGATGTATTCATTCCATCTCTGAAGTATTTTCTTTCTCTAATATCTGTGTCCCACCTTATTTTTTATGGCTATCTGCAAAACTCATTTTTCCTATTTTTGCACATTTTTCATTGAGCCATTCATTTTTAGCCTGCCTGAATTTGTCCCTAATGTTTTTTGCACAATGTCCTATATTCTTTGCCCTATCTTGGCATTGTTTTTTGTCTCTTTTTCATGATGTCAAGAATTTATTTTTATTTGTCATCCATTTCTTTTTTTCTTTCTCTATTTTTCTTTGGGATGATCTTGATTGCTGATGTTACTAAAGCTTCTCTTAATGTGTCCCACTTTGAGTTTCCATTCTCTTTTTGTCCATTGTATCTGCATTAACACTGTCTAAATATTTCTCTCTTACATTCAGGTTATTCATGAGTCTGTTGTACTGCAATTTGGGTGCTGCCTTGGCCCTCTGTCATTTCACTCTAAGTTTACATATTACTGGAAGGTGGTCACTCCTACAGTCAGCACTTGGCTATGTCTTGCAGTGTAAAACTGCATTAATGAAACTCTTATTGATAGTTATATAGTTGATTTGCTTTTTGTTTCTCCTCCTGGGCTTCTCCATACCCATATACACCCCCAGGTCTTCTTGAAACCAGGTGTTGGCTCTGATCATTCGCTGTGCACAACTGACTCATTTTTCTCTGCATTTATTATGAGTTCCTAGTCTAAATTTGCCAACTATTTCACCATCTCACTCCTTGCCTACTTTGGCATTCAGGTCTCCAGGATGATTGTAATTTCTCGCAATTTGCACTGAGCTTTGACATTGAAAAGTTTTACTGTACACTAGACAATTTCTTCTGTACTTTGTGCTGTTGATGCATAAACAATTATAGTGGATGTATTAAAAGGTTTAATTACTAGAATTTCATCAGATAGTTGACAATATCTGAGAACACATTTCTTCATGTCTTGGTCTAATATCAGTCCTACTCCTCTCTCATTTTTCTCTCCATCTGCATATATGATCCTGTGTCTGTCACTGATGAAATCTCTATAGTTTACCCACCTAGTTTGGCATACACCTAAAATAACATTTAACATAATTATTTTTTGTTTTATATTTTCTAACTAGCCACAATGATTTAATGTTTTGACATTCTATGTTCCAAGAATTATTTTTTGTTTGAAGCAAACAGTTGCTGGATGACAATCAAGTGACATCTGTTGCACATATTCCTACTTACCAGGCAAGGAATTAATTCCAACAGACTTAACCTCTTTTGTAGTGTTATCTTGCATAATTTGATTGTTAAAATCCATGAGTTTTCTTGGGCTTCATAGTGGTTTCTTATTGCTTTCTCAATGGTAATTCTATTGAGATATCACCTCTAGTTAACAGGAAGTTGACTCATAAAAAGGAACATTGTTCAAAATGTTTTTTTTTTTTTTTTATAGAAAATCAGTCCTTCATTACATTCATCTCATTAACAAACTCTTACACAGTTAGTAACAAGATATTTGTGTGAGGACATGAAATGACAAAAATGTCCAGACTTTGAATCACATCAAGCTGCACCTTTGCAGACTCAACACCTGGACTGGTACTTCCAACAAGGAAAACAAAAAAAAAAAGGGTATAATTTAAATATGAGTAGAGTTTATATAAAAGAATATTTATTAAACATGATCCATAAATATTTAGGATTAACAATATATACAAAATCTTAATATATTTGCATACATGCTGTTATTGCTACTTGCTTTCCTAACCTTAATTTAGTCTTGTTGCAAAATGTCTTTATTTCAGTTCCAGTTGAGAGTTGTAATTTTTTTCCTTTTGTGCAGCTCAAGTGACATTATTATTTTTGTGGGAGAAATGTTAGCTGCTGCTGATATTTAGGTGTGCCTACACATGCCTTCTTTCCAACCCTGAAAAGTAAGTGTAGTGAATGTCTTTATTCACAAGTCTGGCACCTCAACTTACAAGAGGCTATAGTTACACACGGCCTGAATGCACTTTTTATTAGCAGTGTCTACCCTAAAACTGTACAAATCAGGCTTCACTGACTGGCCATTAAGCAACATGACCAGCTAAGCACAATGCATACTAGTTGAGGAAGAAAAAAGTAAGTTAACCCAACACCTAGTAACATACAGATGAAGCTTCTTGAGAAAAAAAAGTCATTATGGAGAAGGAAATTTGATGAGCTTACTTCAATCTGAAATATTTTGCATATTAATCATTTTTGGCAATAATTTTATAAAAATTTTCCACAAGTAAGATTTGTCATTTCATAATGACGTTTAGATGTAGATATGCATGTTCAACTATGAAATTGATCAAAATAAAAACAAGATTCCGACCGACTGATCAAAATAATAAAAAAATATATCTGCTGCTCTCAGTAATTAAATTGTTGGCAAAAGAAAAAAAAACAATCACAAATGTCTCATTAAAGGAAAGTAATACCCACCTTGTATTATTTTTATCAAATGAATAAATTATGCAGACTATTGACCTACAGTTACCCTACCCAGATCGACATACGGCTGATGGAGGCCAAAAGGTACAATGGCCAAAACGTTGTGGTAACACCAACAGAGATGAAAACAATAGCCGGCATGTAAATAATGAAAAAACTCATCCCCAGAATTTCAAACCAAAAAAATTATGCTAAATGTTTTATATTTTTATACAAGAATTAGTGATATAAGATTTGTATGCAGCATCAGAACTTGTGTGGAGAAAATTGACGTATAGACTGTTCCTGATTGAGAAACAATTACAATAAAGTGAAACATTCTACTCACATAATGACCAATTATCTGTTAATAAGTAAATAGTACATATGGTGAGAAGTTCTTACTTCCCTTACACTGAAGTTTTTTGTCCATATTTTTTGTTATATATATATATTGAGCGTAACTTTAGTTGTGCTTTACTAAAGTAAAGACATCATCAAATTTGTTTCATTCATTTTTATCCATTCATTAAAAAAAATGTTCATTTCATACATTTTCACCAAACTGAAGAATTTGGTAATTAACTTAATACACGTTTTTATTCACAACAAAAAAAAAAGTTGTACGGGAGACAGTTTTTATATAGACCCTTGAGAATTATTGTCTGAAGCCATAATTGTTACACATTTTATTCAATCACAATGCTACTGCAACACACAAACACACAAAAAATGTATCTGACTTATTTATCGGTCACGTCTAAAAGATGACTTGAAAAATCAATATTTGAACAAAACAATACGTGTCACTTCGTTATTGCCTTTAAGCAGGGCACGGCAGAAAACATGTCTACTGATTGGTCAAGGTTTGGTTGCTGCAGGCAACTGAACCACGCTACAGGTTTCTTTTCGTCTTACCTGGGTGAGAAGTGTGATAATTCTCACGGTTTTAAATGTGTCTCCCGATTGATAATGCATACGACTGACTGGTCCTAATCACAAACTGCTTTTTAGCTTAGGAAAACATACAACGCACAGACATGATAAAGAGATAACAGTTAAAAAAATTCACGATGTTTTGTTTACACTATCCTGCAACCACAAAATCTCGTAAAGATCTTAATGAAATAGAAATTTTAATTAAAAGTGGCAATCCAAATTTATGATGGTCAGTTTAACTGTTGCATATATCCTATGGTTTTTTGGGGGATGGCTGGGCCTTCACCATTTGTACCTAGGCCGGGACAATCAGGCTCTGATTTGGTGGGCCACCTTAGGTGGTGGATTCGGTATAGGTTGGTTAAGGGATTTATGCCGAATGCCTGATTATGTCCGCCAAGCCAACAAACCGCACGATTACGTCATAGAAATTAAAGAGCTTATCCGTAAAAAACAGTTCCCTTCTCTAACTTTAACGAGATCCACAACTCAGGTGGCTATCTCTGCATTATTTGCCTACCTAGCTTACACTGCCTGCCCGGAGGATATCATCGAATCTTACTGGATTGTTCGTTTTATCGTTGTCGCCATAATAACACCCCTTGCTGCTGCATATGGTAAGTAAGTCAATAAGGGAAACGTGGAAAAACGTTGCTCGTTCTCTCTCTCTCGATAATTTTTCGCTTTTTTTTTTTTTTTTTGGTGGTGGTGGTGGTAATTGTAATGTAAGTACTACAACCAGAACTTAATTTTTGTTCTGTTTCTAGTCCGTAAATATGACTGAAATTAAGGTTCCCTTCTTTTCTTTTTTTAAGCTGATCCACCAGGAAGTAAAAACTTCTCACCCCCAGAAATGTTAAAAATTCCTTCTTGCTTGACAATGAAAAAATTCTCAATCTAGTTTAAAGTTTAAAGCCGTTTTTTTTTTTATATCCCTCGACTTATTAGAACCTAATAACTGAGATTAATAATCCTGATTCACAAGTATTCAACTTGTCAACAATAAGGATGCTTTTGAAAACATGCGGTGCTAAGGGGAACACTGACATCATTTTTAATTTTATTTTAATGTTTGAATTTAAAAGAATGAAAAAAATATATCTTAATTAAAAAAAAACCCATCAGTATATAACCCGTCTTTGACTGGGTCTTTCATTACTGGAAATAAATTGTTGCCGTATAATTGGACCAGTTTTTTTAAGTCAGCCCACCCGAAAATCAATCTTAGTAACAAGATTTTTGTGCAACTGAGGCACATCCCCAAATGGAGGGGCAAAAAAACTAACAATTTGAAGGGGGGGGGCTGAAAAAGGAAACTGTATAATAATAAATAATATTATATTGTAATAGTTTAAACTATTTTTTATTAAAGTTTTTATGAAAGATATATATCCAAGAACAGATGGTAAAACGTTGCTGAGAGTTATAATGGACAGGAAATAGTGGAGAGCCATTGTCGCCAACACTTTGTACTCAAAACCGGCACTAACTTATGAAACAAAAAAAATTTCATCAAAATTGGATAAAAATTGGAAATGCATAAACAATCACACACACACACTTTAAGAATTACAGACTCTTATAGACGGTAGAAATAATTCCTAATTAATAAATTTGAAATAAAATCATTTTTAATTTTAACAACAAAAAAATGAATTTTTTTTTTACAAGTCGTAACATACCACAGAAAAAAATGAAACCAGCGCCACTTCTGTTTTTTTGCCACGTCCGTTTACTTGCTTTTTCATTCGTTGTTGTAATAAAATTGTTCTAGTTTATTTTTAAATAAAAAATAATTTTTTTACAAATTATGATTTCCATTTTTTAAATGACATACGTTATTCCCCTTTGAACCGCAAATTTTTAAAAAATTCTCTTCTAAAAAAAAAAAAAAAAAAAAAAAAAAAAAAAAATTCTCTTCTCTTTTAAAAGTAAACAATTCAGTGAATTTGTTTTTTTTACTTTTACTTTTATTTCTTTTAATTTTATTTTTAAAATATAAATGAAGTAAAGAATATAAGCAGTTATAATTTAATTTTTTAGACTGACCGTTTAAAAAGTGGGACTTGAGAGAAAAAAAACAAAAAAAACTAGCTTTTGGAGTTGCCAGCCTTAACAATTGTACTCCATGACTTCAATCCTCTACTCTACCGATCCCCTAAACCAAAATGTATTTAAAAAAAGGTGTTGACTGTGAAAGTGAAAGTAGACATTGACATTACACTAAAAACGTGGCTTTCTTTCAACAACCTTTGGAAAGTAAGGAAATGTCGATTTCTGTAATTTGACTGAAATAGTGAAATAACTAGCAGCATGACCCAGCATTGCCCGTGCTTGATTCAAAAATCGTACAACTCATACAGCAATCGCTATCAGTTGGCTTAAAATATTTTTGCACTTCCTTGCCTTTAAAGGAGTGCCCTTTGCCGTGCTGATGTTGCTACATGCCTTACTTCTTGCCTATCTCACACTGCATATTTTTTCTAAGCTCGATACTAAACATTAAATATGTTACGAAAAAATAACTAAACAAAATGAACACAAAACGAACAGCTTTAAAAAAGGACTCATAACTGGAAAAACCGAATGAAAAAAGAATGTTAACAATACTTTTTCACACCCAACCCAGTTCTGCGGAATCAGAATCAACGTTGAGTTTAAGCAAGCGAATGAGCCAATTGGAGTAAAGTGCTATGCAGATTTAAATTTTTTCCACTTGTGATGAATGCAGCTATCGATTTTTTTTGCATGCTAGTTAACATTCGTGTCAGTCAGCTGTTGGCTCTCACGCTGGCCAATAGAATCTTCCTGCCTAGTCATGGCAGCCAGCTATAGGCTCTCACTCTGGCCAGTAGAAAATGGCTGCAAACTACATGAAAACTGCCGTAAAAGCATGAAAAAAATCGATTATTTCCACTATTGATGGGAGTTGGGAAATGCAAAGTCGGTCTTGGCCTTCTCGCTAACTTGGAGCATGTGCATGTAAATTTTGGTGCAAATCGTCAAAAATTCCTTCATGTGTTTAAATTCATTTCTTTTGGAACTTCCCAACCTCTTTATCACAATTCTTAAACAACTGAATCTGTTACAAAGTAGCACTTCCTACTCCAAACTAGTGACAGACAGCAACCTCTCCCATTTCAGTCTTGAAACAACAATTTGCTACTCTATAAAAGAAACTTATTTTGCTTATTACAAATCTTACTTATTATAAAATGCAGATTGTGTGTGTGCGTCTGTATGTTTATATATTGGATTGGATTTCCTACATTTTTCAACTGATTTCAACAAAACTTCACAGGACTACGTAAAATTACCTTGCGGTAGTTCTGACAGCGCCAAAAATTAGAAAAACAATAGTTTTTGCACAAAATCAATTTGAAAACACAATTAAGAGGTATCACTCGCCAGAATGAAAGGGAGATAACTCATATTGGGTTATACTTATTATAAAACCCAGGTTGTTTGTGCGTGTGTTCGTTTATATATGTGATCGGATTTCCTACATTTTTCAACCGATTTCAACAAAACTTCACTTTTTTTTTTAGCAGGTAGTGTTTCTTATTGTCTTGCACACTTTTTTCTTTATTTTTACATTCAGAATGCTTTAAAAATTCAATTTACAAGACAATTGTTTATAATAAAATTCTATTCAATCGATAGACTCATAATGATTGAAAACAATGTTTTTGTTTGAGTTTGAACAATTCGTAAAAAACAAAACAAAACAAAAAACTAATTAAGACATGCGTGTCCATCAACCTTAAACAATAATCTTTGTCAATTTTATTTTTCAGCCTTTATGATGGTCGATACTTGATATATCTCTTACTGTTACATCCCCGGGCAATGCCGGGCTCTACTGCTAGTAGTTTATAAGCACAAGTCATGTCACTCATATAAGACCAGTTAATACTAATTGGAAAGAAGGTTGAACTGTTGAAAATTTGGACCTAATGTTCCTATGCCGATATCAGATTTGGTCATCAAATCAGCTTTGGCTAACATCCTAATTTTCTATGATAACAGGACAAAATTATAGTCTCATAAAAGTTACATAGAAACAACTGTCTATATTTCTGAGATGAGATATTGTAACTATTTAGATTATTTATATTGTTCAGACTGTTGTCCTTATCTTAATTGTCATATTCACAATGTTTCGGCCATTGTACGCTTTGGCCTTCTTCAGGTAATATATATTGGAATTTCAAACTGAACCTTTTATTTTGTTCACTGGGGTAGATTGTCCCCAAGGACACATGACCCAGTGGATAAAAGCCTTGGGTGAAGTAATCCAGTGACTTGACCCAAAGAGTTGTGAGTTCAGTACCTGGCCACAGAGATGTTGAGTTTCTAAAGAAAAATAACTGATACTGAGATATCCAGAAAACGCATGGCATGTGGAACTAGAACAGTCTACCCCAGTGAATGAAATAAAGAGTCCAGTTCAAAATTCCAACATATATCACCTGAAGAAGGCTGGGGTATACAACGACCGAAACATTGTGAATATGCCAAAGATGAGGATAACAAAGTAAATAGTGTAAATAAAAAGAAAAATTTCAAATTCAAGGAACTTTCAATTCAAATTTTTATGTCAAATTCAGACAATAACAGTAATATCCAATATATGATCCGTTCGGCAGGGGAGGAGGGGTGTATTCAAAAAAAAAAAAAAAAAAAAAAAAAATCAAAAATTGCTTTTTTCACTGCAAATTATTCATCATATCATATCCAAGTATTTTACAAAAAAATTAGAGCTAATTACACAGTATTACAAGCTGAATTTAGGTTTATAGTTCGTAACCATGCAATGAGATGAGGTAACACAAATTGTAGATTTATCTATGGAATATCATTATTAATACTTAATTATAGTGAAATCATTAAGGTTTTTTGTCAAAGGCATTTTATTATTGGTCATATCTTAATTTAAATTTTAAAACATTCCTTTTTACTGGCTTTATTTTTTAAATGGAATAAGATCATTCTGAATTTCAGAATTTCACTATTGCCCATCAAAATGACTGGAAGAAAGCGATCTATAAACAACAATGGAAAAGAGAGGTAACAAAACGTAAAAGAAATAGCTCCAGTTTGTTCAAATTAGGAAACTTAGCATTGCAGCTGAAGTATTCTAAAATGCTGCCAACAAAGGAGAAACTGAAAAGTACCAAACAAGAAATCGAATATAGCCTCAAAATTTATATTATTTTCATTTATTTGTTATATACATAATTGTCTACAATGTTCGGTAAAACTTATATATTGCCGCAAAATTATCAAATGTTGAATACGCCCCTCCTCCACCAAACATGTCATATACATTTATATGTGCAATATGCAATACATATATATATATATATATATATATATATATACTCCAATGTCAAATTTAGACAATAAATACAATATCCAAATTTATGTTCCATTTATCTATACATATATATTTTTACATTGTTATTATTGATCCAATTTGACATTAAAATTTGAATTTTCAGTGATAAATTTGTTTCTTTTTATTTATGAGATTGGAATTTTGACCACTTTTTGGATAAGAGGCTGGGATTTTGTCCATCAGGTTTTTGTCAGAGATTCATTTTCCATATGACTG